CTCGCATCAGACCAGCCTACATCAGAACATAGCTGACAGGAGGAGATGGGATGGCTGGAGTATGCAGACATGCTCAGGGTTCCTCTACCTTCAGATTCCAGCGTTTACACCAGTGCTCCACCTTCTCACCAGGTTCTCAGACTTTCAGCCTCAGACTTCCAGTCGACTTCCCTCCCTTTAGGCTTTGGCGCTTGTACTGATCCACACTACCAACATCCCAGGATCTCTTCTTGCAGACAGCTTGCTGTGAGACTTCTCAGCTGCCATAATCATGGGAGCTAATTCCCCCAACTAATCTCCTCTTATATATCTGTACATGCTGGTTCTGTCTCCTGTGCAGATAATTTCCCAGAGATGGGATTGATGAATCATTTGGCAGTTATTTTTATTGCAATATTGCTATTAATGGTTGTGTTATACAGCTTCTGATATGGGTCCCAATGATCCCTGCCTCCTTCATATTCATGTACTCATGTAATCCCCTTCCTTGAGCATAGGTTGGTCTATAGGGATTGCTTCTAATAAAGAGAAAACAGCAAACATTGATAGAATGTTACTTCCATGATTAGATTATAAAACTGATTTCATACTTGTAAACATTTTTTCCTTTACTGGGCCTCTTGACTTGCAAGCTGCCATTTTTTTTTTTTCCCCAAGATGCTCTAGGGAAGTCACATGTTAAAGAAAGAAAATAGGCCTTTGACCATCATGTTATGATGAATGGATGCTCAAGTCTAATACCTATGCAGAAGCAGACTGAAAAATGGTGGTTGCTAGAAGTAATGGAGAGGAGATGTAGACAGAAGCTACTAAGTTTCAGTTATGTAGGATAAGTAAGTTCTAGAGTTCTAGTGGACAGCATGGTGACTGAAGTTAATATTGCATCATATACTTGATATTTACTAAGATGGTACATACTAGGTTTTCTTACCATAACACACACACACACACACACACACACACACACAGAGGGTAACTAGGTGAGGTGATGGATATTTTTAATTAACTTCTCTATGGTAATCATTTTATAGTGCATATGTTTACCATAATATCAAATGCATTTTACAGTGCATATGTTTATCATAATATCAAATTATGTTTCAATACAACTGTTACTTTAGAAAAAAAACTTGGAAAAGATCCCTCCAAATATAGTATCTCTATCTTCACACATACCAGCTAGGAAGGGGGAAATTACTGCTTCTAAATAATTCTGGATCTTGATTTCAGTATTTTGCTACTTGAAATGTTTTAGTTTTGATAGGATGCTAATAAACACAACCTTCTTTCCTGAAATACAGAAGTCAGTTCTACATACTGAATTTAATTAGAGAAATTCTAATTACTCATTCAATGTTGTCTTCAATTAATAGCACGCTATTTTGAAGGTATATTTTGTGACACACCATGTTTCTTGCTGTATTCCCAGTGTGGTAACTAGAACAAATTAGTGTTTGTTCATGCTTAGTGAATGAGTCCATGAAAATGGACAAGATGTTGCTGGAAATGGAGGCCATCCCTCTCACTAATAGGTAAATGTGCCTATTTCCCTCACTAATGGGTATATGGTCTTTGAATAATAACTTATCTAAGGATATAAGTCTTCTCTTTTGAATAGAAAATTTGGGTAAAAATGAAAAATTCTTATATCTTAACTGTAGGTTTTATTTTTCATAATTGATTTGTACATTTTTTTTAAAGAGAGATTTTTGCCACGGGGCACATGTGGTTCACTGTAGAGACAGACAGACAGAAAGTGAGAACCACCTTTCCCCGTCCAGAGGGGTTGGACACCCCACAATCCCCTCTCCTCCATTCTCCTCTTGGGTCTTGGGCATGGATGCACATGTGGTCAGCATGAGTTCCAAGCTGCTAGGTCTGAGACTCGATCTGTGGTTAACCATGTGAGAGTCCAGTGACGTAACCATTATGCCATCTGCTGGTCCCAGTGATTTGTACCTTTTGACTTAACAATTCCACTTTGAGAATTTAATACATAGTTCAAAAATTATATAGAAGCATGTAAATGGTAGAAACAAAGTCTGAGTTCTGGACCCAGCAGCTTGAGAATCGTGCTGGATATGTATGCATGCATACTGAAAATTCAGAGAGGAGAGTGGAGGAAAATGGATTTGTAGTGTGGCCATCCCCCTGGAAGGGGGCGATTTCTTCTTTTTCTCTCTGTTTTTTTTTTTTTTTTTTTTTTGCACTGCCTTATAGCAAAAACAAAAACAAAAATAAAACAAAAAAAGAAGATGCATATTTTTTGGAAAGTTGCCTGTTTGATATGAACTTCAAAAAAATTATAAAACACCATGATAATTCAATTTCTGCTTAGGAAGAGACATGAAGTGCATATGCTTTTATATAATCACATATGCATTGAAAATTTTCTGGAAGTGCTATATACAACAAAAATTAATATTTTTCTTGATATTAATAAGTTTATTTTTTATCATTTATGTTTTATTTGTAACTGTAGAAGAATATAAATAACATGAAGTTTAGCACCTTTATCATTTTTTTTTTTAGAGAGATTATTGCTATAAGACGTGAACGAACACCAGATAGAGAGATAGAGAGATAGAGAGCGAGGGGGTATAGTCATACCACAGACACTTTTCTTCCACTCTCCTTTTGGGATTTTTGGCATGCATGTACACACACCTGGTATGAGTTTGAAGCTGTGGCTCTAGGACTTGAATCATGGTTGGCCATGTGGGAGTCCAGTGACATAACTGCTACACCATTTGCTGGTCCCATCTTCATCATTTTTAATTGTACTGTTCAGCTGTGCTAAATACATTCTTGTGTTTGTGCAACCTATATCTAGAATTATTTTTATCTTGTAAAGCTGAAACATTACTTTCTTTAAGCAACCACTCATCATTTCCCTTCTCCCTCTAGTCCCTGGCAACAACCATTCTACTTTCTGCCTGTATGAATTTGAGGTACTACTCATGTAAGTGGAATGAGACGATATTTACCTTTTCATGACTGACTGACTTGTTTTAAAATAATGACCTCAAGACTCATCCATGATGTAGCATGTGTCAGCATCTTCTTCCTTTTTAAGACTGAATAATAATTCATCCCATGTGTATACCATGTTTTGTTTATCCATTCATTTAGTCAGTGGACACTTGAGTGTCTCTTGTCCTTTGGCCATCGCTATTGTGAACAGATAGCTCTTTGAGACCTTGCTTTCAGATGTTTGAGTTTAAACCCAGAAACTGAATTTCTGGATTACATGGTGCTTCTATTTTTAATACTTTTGAGTAACAGTCATTCTGTTTTCCATAGTGGTGGCATCATTTTATGTTTTCATGAACAGTGCACCAGGGTTTCAGTTTCCCCATGTCTCCTTCAGTGTACTATTTTCTGCTTTTTGGTAGTAGATATTCTTGTGGCTGTGAGTGGTTATTACTAATTTTTGATAAGTTTTGCTATAAATTACTTTTTATATTCAGAGCGAACAATAAAAAGTATTTCCATTTTGTAAAAATGGAATGAATTGCATTTTTAAAAAGTAATGATTTAGTATTGCTTTCTGTTATTAAGGGTGTATCAATATATTCATTTTGGATGCAATAGTCATTTGTTAGCTGAGGTATTAGGGTAGATTACTAGGATAATAGAAGTTCGATGCTGATGAGTAGTTTGAGGTTTTAGTAAAGCACTGTGACCATCACAGTAAAATCTTGATTATTTTTAAGTACTAGAAGTTGGGTAGCCAAGACTTATCAGTCTTAGTAAATATGAATTTTGCATTTTTTGATAAAATACATTTTCCCAACCTTTCCTCACTTATTAAACTTAACGTTTCTATCTCTATTTTTCCCCCTAAGAGTGTGTCTCAGTGTGTTGTGACTGTCTTATCCCAGCCTCCCAGTTAGCTAGGATTACATGTGTGTGCAGCCACACCCAGTGTGTTCAGGTTAGTCCAGGAACCAAATTCATGCTTCCCATAAAGCTTCTGTCTGCTTGTGGTGGGGCTGTGTGCCACTGTGACTGGATCTATTCTTTTTAAAAAACACCAGCTTGATTGACCCATAATTGACCATAAAATTAATTTGCTTTAAATGTACAATTTAATGATATATTGAGTTATACATCTATCACCATAATTCAGTCTAGGGCATTTCCATCATTCCATAAGATCCTTTGTGACTAGGACCTTTCTTGACTCGGTCAAACACAGAATAGTTAACAGAAGATTTCTTATAATAAGACTGTATTTATTCCTGCTTTAATATTGGTGCAAAATGTCTTCATTATTCTTTTACACAAAACATACACATTGTCAAATAGTATAAATTTTATTTAGGGGACTGTATAATGATCCACACGAAATGTATTTGAATTTGCAACAACTTCTAGTAAGAGAAACTTCGTGTCAGAGAGAAAAATTCTTTCATGTTTATTTTAGAGACTCCCAATTAAACATTTTTTACTTTGACTTAAGTTTTTGATCTTTTACAGCTCATTTATTTTTAGCAGATCACAGTAGAAAAGATTGACAAGCTAATAAAAAGCCCTTTTAATTATCTGCTGCACATAAACATCAGTACCTTCTTAGGCAGGTCATGTTCATGGATAATAAAAATGAAAAAGAACTAAATAGAACAGTTTATCATGAATTGGGTAATAAAATACAATTGGTAAAATTTGTATTTTCCTACTTATTCACCAGAGGGCACTCTCTTCTAGTGTATTGCTTTTAACTCTTATCTGTTGTATTATTTACTTAGAAAAATTTGAGGCTCTTATTGGAATCCAGGTGTGGATTATTTGGAAACAAAAAATTGTTTTGTTTTGTAACTTTCAGTCTTTTTTTTTTTTTTTCCTGTCAGCTGGTTTATAATAGTGCCATTAAAATGGGCTCTCTAAACAAGCCAGTCTTAAATGCTATAGGCACTAGTGTATCCACCATAAAATACCTCCTCAATTTAGCCTTTGCTCTTTATCACTGTAATGCCTTTGTTTTTCTTTGAATTAAGGTTTCAGATCGGGTAGAGCGGCGGCTTCAGGAAATAGAGAGAGAGATGCGCACAGAAAGAGAGTTGGTGGAAAAACGCCAGGATCAACTAGGACTTATGTCCTTGCAGCTGCAGGAGGTTTGTGAAAACTACTTTCCTAGAATGTAAATCTTGAATTTTGATACTAAGTTATTCATTATGAAAAAGATTACATTTCCTAATCAGTTGCATGTGAAAGCGTAATTCAACCAATATGAGAAGTAGTATAGGGTATTAGTTATAGTACACTATGTAGAGTAAGACCTTACTGACTTAACACTTGCTATCTGTGTGACCTTGGGTAAGTTCTTTAACTTCTCCAGGCCCTAGCTTCCTCTGGAAAATGGAAATAATAATACCATTTACCCACTCAGATTGCTGTGAAGATAGATAATACGGCTAAAGCACCTAACAGTGACTGGCGTGTACTTAAAGAATGTTAATTGAAGGTATAATTACTCTGAAGAATTTTTCTACACTTGATCTTAGCCAAAAGGCCGAGAAGCGATTCGCTGAATAATTTTTCTGAGCATTCGCTAGACCAGGGATCATCAAACTATGGTGTGTGGGCTGAATGTGACCCACTTTTTTGTAAATAAAGTTTTATTGGAGCATAGCCACTCCTGTTTATGTACATATTGTCAGTGGGTGATGACAGAGTAACAGAGTTGAGTAGCTGTGAAGGAGATGGTGTGGCCTACAAGACATAAAGTAATGGTAGTCTGTCCCTTTACCAAAAAAGTTTGCCATCCCCTGGATTGGGTTGTGTCAAATCAGTTCAAAGTGGAGAATGATTACTGTCTTAGTCCATTTGTGTTGCTCTAACAGAATATCTGAGACCAAGTGCTTTGTAAAGATTAGAGGTATACTTCGCTTTTGATTCTGGCAGCTGGAAAGTTCAAAGCCATGGGTGTGGGTCCCATTGCAGCATGGCCATCCCCCTTGGTTTCTCACTCTCCTGCTCTCTCTCACTCACTCTCTCTCTCCCCCTCCCCGGAGAGCCCACTCACCCAACAGCAAACTTTGAAAAACAAAAAAAATACACTTATGTGTGTCCACAGATCATTAACTTTTATTAACTGACAAGTTTTCTTTTTAATTATTTTAAATTATTTTTTAAAGGAGCCGTAGGACATATTGCCAGTTGAAAACTAAGAACAAAATTGCAACCCTGAAAATATAATGTATGGTGATAAAAAAAATCTGCTTTTATTTTTATAAAATTCCATTTTCTTTCATTTCTCAAAAGGAGGAATACCCTTGTTAGTTGGTAATTATTTTGAAGAGGATACTTTGTTGAATAATTAGATATAGTATGTGGGTAGCCTTTTTTTTAACCTTGATTTTTATACATTTGTTCTCAAAGCAAATTGCATCTGGTAAGCATAAGAATAGTACTGAAGAGACAATTGTTCTTGTTGCAAGAGAAAATTAGAGAAATTTTCCATACTTATTTTCTACTCTCTTTGCAGAATGCACAAAATTACAAAGAAAGAGGGAGAGGAAAATTGCTTCCCACCCTTATTCTGAGAAACCAGAGACTGAATATTTGCATTGTAATTGTCATTTTGACTAAAAGCCTGATCTGTGATTTGGAATTCCATCTCTGACAATACAATAGAGGATCTCTATTGATAAGAAATGTTTAATTTCATATTTTATCACTTTAATATAAGCAGTGACCTATATGTTTTTAAAAGGGGTTTTGGATTATAAACAGTGCAGTAGAAAACTGGAAAAGATTAATTTAGGTTAATGCATTTTCCTGCTCCCAAGTTAAATGGCTTAGACTGCTCTGGAAAGGTCATGTTTAAGGAGAGAAAACACTGCTTTCTTTTTGATATTAAACATATACTTATGGAAATTCTTATACTGTATGGTAATAGATACTGATATATTTTGTTTCTGGCTATTGTGGGAAAATGAATCCATAGATGAATCCAGACTTTTAGCCACGGTGTGTTTTTGCATCCTTTCAATGTTAGTAAAAATGATGACATTTAAAAATTGTTATTAGATGTATTCATTAGAAATTCCCAGATGTCAGAGATGTCTAGTATAATGCCATATTACAGGGAGGCAGTCTGTGGTTTTGTCTAAAACCTACTGCTTTTTAGTGATCTATTCTTGTTGAATGGAAAACATAGTATTAATCATTGGAAATTGGTCAAGGAAAAGGCACTCCTTATGAAGAGTTTATTTTTTTAAATTTAAAGAATTGGGCATTCTTTTCTATTTCTTCTGGTTTGAGCAAAAGGAACATGTATGCTCTGGAATCTACTCATTTTTGAGCTTCAACTGCTCATGTACTGTGGAAGTAACACAAATGCCAGATTTAAACTTTGTAAGGACCTTTAACTGAGCTTCAGATTTCATATATCATTACTGTTTCAGTATTTCAGTAGACTTTCTTCTTTAGGAGCGAGAAGTATTTTTTATTGGTCTATGATATTCCTTTCATATACTCTTTAATTTTGTATGGTTGTTCTAGTACTTGGAACTTTATTAATCTAATTCAAATATTAATCCAATAACTATCAGCCTTTCCTTGTTGCACTCTTATACAAATGATAAAGTACTTATTTGACATTAGGGTACTTTACCATACTATAAACTTCTTTTGATTAGATGTTTGTTGATAGCCTACCTTTGATTAGTTAAATTTAATGGAGTAGCAGTAGGCACGGGGTAGTGTATAGAAAGAGATATTTACATTGTAAGCATAGTCTAAAATCTCCTGGGATTTACATGAAATCCTAGATAAAGTTTCTAATTCTTGACTACTCATCTTTGAAATAGCTGTTTTTTTTTGTTTGTTTGTTTGTTTGTTTTGTTTTGTTTTTTAGTTGGATTGCTTAAGTACAAAACACGAGATAAATGCTGTGAGTATATCTGTATGTGTTACTCAGAGCATTTGATAGCATATCACTTACTAGTTTCCTCTTCATGTATATTAAGAACACTTTGTGCATATGTCCCTTGGTGATTAATATTTTAAGAATTTAAAATTCTTAAATTTAAAGGTGTTTCATGGGGAAGTCTGTGGGGTGAGGGCATGGAATCTTAATCGGAGGTGATGAAGATTAAGTTAGAAATTCGTGAGTGTTTAAGGTGGGACCTCAGTGACTTTCAGTATGCTTTCCAATAGAAAATCAGATTTGTGACTCTCATCAATAACATAAGGTTATATGAAGAAAAATTAACTGGTAGATATTTTTCAATAGTTTTTTTTGTCTTTTGGCATCTGTACTAACTGTACAAACTTAATGAGAAAGTAGCTACTTATTCTTGCCTGGAAGTGTAATTGTACTTCCAAAGATGTTGAGTAATATGGCTGCTTCCCTCCAGAAGAGTTTTGCCACTGTTTATTAATGCCACTGTTTATTAATGTAAAGATTTATTGTTCATTAAGGGAGAAACTTCTATGAAGCCAAGAATGTTTTGCTAATGTCTTCTTAATAGTGTTAGTTAGATTCTCCCCTAAAACTCCTCTGATACTTTGGGTATCACAAAGTAGACTAGAATCCTGTCAGGCAGATATTCTAACCTGGCTTCATTTACTTTCCTGAACTTCCTTTTGAGTCTTCTTTAGTTTGTTTGGGGACCTGGAGGCCTTTGAAAGGCTGGTAGGCTTTGGATTCACTTTTACTTGCCTTTCTAAGCTAAATCGTACCACTTCTGCTTGACCCTTCATTTTATCCTCGCTTCTTGTTTCCATAACTAATGCCCTCTTTTTTGTAATTATCTCTCCACATATTCACTTATATTTATTTTATTCAAGCCTTTCTTTTCTCATGATATTCTAGATGCTCTTTATATAAATGCCTATTAAATCACCTTCACATTGATCATCCTAGCAGTCTCCCTAAGCTTTGAGAAAGACCACAATTCACAAGTGAGTCGTTAGCCTATAATGATGTTTAGGTCAACAGTGGGCCACAAAACATATACACATACAGGTTTACAATAGGCTATATCATATAGCCTAGGTGTGTAGTAGTTATACCATCTAGGTTTGTATACATTGATGATGCATCTTTTTAATTTCACTGATGCTTTCTGAAAATTTCTGCAGCTAGCAGATGTTCCAAATTACTCTATTACTGTGGATAGAACTTTTATTATAATATTAATAAATATCGCCAGATTATTTTTCAAGAAGGTTCTAATACTTCATATGTCTTTTAGCAGTAGTTGAGCAGGCCCTTTTATCTACATTTCTACCAGTAGTAGTAGCTGTAATTCTTTAAAATTTTTGCTAGATGGGTGTAATGCGTTTACTCATTTTTTATGTGTATTTGCATTTTATCATTAGTGATTTTGAGCATCTTTTCATATATTTGTTGGCAATTTGCACTTGTACTTCTATCATTTGCCTGTTTATCACTTATTCATTTAAAACTATTGAGTTATTTGGGTTCCCCCCTCCCAGAAATTTATTATGTTTTTAATGGAGCAAGAAGGGAGTCTAGGTTTGTTTTATATTATGAATCAGTTGCCTCAGCATTGTTTTTTGATAATTGTTTTTTCCTACTCTAAATGCCACTTCTGTTATATATGTTCCATATGCCTCATTGATAATCTTGTTGTCAATTCCTGTAGTGATGTCATTCCATCTTAATTATTAAAGCTGTTAGTATCTTTTGGTAAATGATAATGAAAATCCCTTGTCATATTCCCTGAAAAAGTCCAGTTGGCATTTTGATTGTAATTGTATTAAATATATAGATTAATATGAAGAGAAGTTTTTTCCCTAATGTTTTTCAGTGGTTTTATTGTTGTCTATTTTATGGTCCTGTACATCTTTAGTTAGCCTTATACTTGTATATCTTAAGGGTTTTTTTTTAATACGGAATGAATTATTTTCTTTGACTACATCTTTCATTGGTTATTTATAGCATATAGGAGTGCAACTGTTTTTTTTTTTAAAGATTTATTGGGACCAGCAGTTAGCGTAATGGCTATGTCGCTGTACTCCCACGTAGTTGACCACGGTTCGAGTCCCGGACCCGGTGGCTTAAACTCACGGTGGGCGCATGTGCGTGCATGCCCAAGATCCCAAGAGGAGAATGGAGGAAAAGGGATTGCAGTGTGGCCAT